TTCGGTTGGAAAATTTTCATGATTTCTTCACAAACACTGTACATTTCTGCGCCCGAGAACAGGTCTTAAAATTGCTTTTTCTCCATATAATATGTTAAACAACCATCAGCAAATAACAAAGCTAAATTTTTTACATGCATCAAAAATTAACTTACTTGATATTATAAAAATTTGAACTCAACTTTCACCTTAAATAAATTAAATTTTTTTTTAGTTAAATAGTATCAATTAAGCAAAACTCTTATTGGTCAAGGTTAATTATTTGATTAATACCAAAACATTATTTAAAATTCAGAAAGAAAATAGAAATTTCTCAAAATTCCATTGTCCAATTAGAATGAAGAATATTCCAATCTGGAAAGTTAGATGATTAATTGCACTTCTGATTTGTCTTTCAAAATAAAAGCAAAGTGATAGTAGTTACTTACTATTTAGCATCAAAGTTAAAAAAAAAGGATGGTAGTTTCATGTATTAATACCAAAATTGGGAAAGCGTAAAGTTGGCGTTGAATGGCCAGACCAGACATGACAGTCTATCACACACCAAATCCTGTTTTTTTTGTTGGAGCATCTATGCATATATATATATATATATATGCAGCAGCTAGTGAATGTCTGACTGCTCAAATAAGCCTTAAAAAGGTTCGTGTTGGCTTCGCGCTTTTCACTGTAAATAACTTTTTGCTTTTTGTCAGGATAAGCAAATCTTTGACGACTGCTGCGATGTAGTACATATTGAGGTAAAGAGGTCGAAAAAGGAGAGAATAGTTTTAAGAAAATTTTATGTGGCGAAGACAATTGTTGGGTTCAAAAACTGCATCATGGATTTATAGTGGCCGACCATATTAATACCATCGTGCCATATTAATACCAATTGCTAAAAGGAGGGAAGACCAGAATTAAAAACAGTATATGGACTTCCATTACTGTGGTGGTGGTAGTGGTGGTGGTGGTAGTGGTAGAACAAATCAAAATTATAGTACGTTCTTTGAATGGGGACTTGTTTTTGCCCCACCGAAAAGTAAGAAGGATTTGAAGACTTTTTTTGCAGCCTAGGAACTGCCCACTGTACCGTGGAGAGTTTCTTTTTTCCTTTAATAAAAAAAAAGTTGATAATTCAAAAAAAAAAAAATTGTAAGAGTTATTAGCACGTAGAGTTTCTGTTTCTCTGATTTACAATGTAAACTGTATTAACTATAAAATTAGGACCCGTAAATAAGAGAGAAAAGTTAATATCGAGAGGTTTTTCTTTTAAGGGTTTTTTGAATCTATATTTTAAGAATACATGTTAAAAAATTTTTAAAAATAAAAAATACTATTTAATTTATTAATTATTTAATTAAATTTATTTATATGACATTAATTTTAAAATTAATATTGACATTAATATTTTTATATATAAATTTATTGTAAAAGGCTGCTCTTAATCTATACCTTAAAAGCATAAATTAAAAAAATCTTTTTTCTAATCTAAAAATAACTATTTTACAATTTAACATAATTTACATTACAAAACAAACCCTTTTTTTTATCTTAGCAATTGAGCTCAAATCCAATGACAATGAGACACAACTGGGATGTGCGCACTGAGAAATTTTTACTGTAAATTTTCCTGAAGAATATCTCTAACACATTCATCTATGCACAATTTTCTGTACCCCACCCCTGGGATAAAAATCAGTTAAAAAAAAATGAGGAAAAAATCACAATCTCTTCCAATTACCCATGAAATTTTGGGAAACCATATATCAAGGCTAACGATGTCTTGTATTTGAGCTACGAAGCGTCACACCATGTAAGAATTTTGTATATCCTAGTAAACTTAGCTTTCCATCAGAATTTCTGATCCAATCCCTGAGTAACGTATAAGCTGAAGGGCCAACATTCAACTCCTGTAGTTTTAAAACCACATCATTAGAGCAAGCTGGGTTTAACATTATAAACTATGGAAACACAACGATTATATGTACCCGTGCCAACTCTTCTATTGAGATAAATCGATTGCCTTCCTGTTCAAAATGCTCGAAAGCAGTGGAGGCAATCTGCTCCCACTCTTCAAGAGCCTCCAATTGATGTGTGCTAATTGCAGCTGCACAAAACTCTTCATAGGACATCTTCCTATAAGCCAATGATTCCATCTGAAAAAAGTTAATGCAGCAGGGTAAGAAATCAGATATATCAAGGAATCAAATCTTAATGAGAATCATTTTCTCTTTAACACAGACCCTTAAATCAAATGACACAAGGTAAAGACTTATTGTCAAAAGTTAAAAACAAAGGAATGTCTGCCGTAGATGACTTACCGCATTGAGAACATCAGGACCCCTTGATTCCATCATGGCATCGGTAGCATTTTTCACAATAGCCTGCCATTGATCCGTATTACCAAATACTTATTTTCAGATCAAACAACAAAACTTATTACTGCAAACACAACCCTCTCAAAACACAAACACACACACACACAATGGAGGAATAAAACAGAACCTAAAAAAAATTTCACACTTATAACCAAATCAGATGAACACTGTCATGACACAAACAAAACTAAAGCTTAAATTGATGGACAGCAGTAGGTAACCTTTCTAAAATTATCAAGAGAAACTGTCCCATCTCTATTTGGTTCCAACAGTCTGAACTGTTCCCTTAGATAAACCAGCTCATCCTCAGTCAAGGCTTTTGAGAGAGCCTGCAATTATAATAGTCAACCAAAGCATAAGTTGGACCACAACAGAAAAAATATTTTTAATACATGCATGAGTCTCTGAATGTGTTGAGCAAACAAACTACAAAGACATGGCAAAGAAGCCAGATTTCAGTCAAACTATACCGTATATGCTAAGAGAGAATAAATTTACCTTTAGGGCTGCCCGTTTGAATGGTGTTGCATGGAGGTATGACTTAACTAACTTATATATCAATATATCCAAAGGAATTTGACGACTGTCATCCCGCAACCACGGGTGAGCTGCAAGAATAGACTTATGCATTAATTCTAAAAGTGAATGAACTCCTATAAAATAACAAATAATATATACATTTCAGAATAACCGTGTATTGTTAACAGAAAAATAGCAATTGTAGAAGTTAACACAAATCAGGAATCCAAATACCATAAAGCAAGTGCTAATAATTCATTCTTTTAGAGATAACAAAGAAAGTTCATACTTAGAGCTTGAACAGCAGTCATTCTTTTTCTGTAGTCCTTGTTTAGGAGTCTCTTCACAAAGTCCTTGGCCTCTGGAGTGACAGAAGGCCAAGGTAGATCATCAAAATTGGGATCAGATCTTAGCACAGCACGGAAAATTCCAGATTCTGTTCGTGCCCAGAAAGGCCGACTTCCACATAACAAGATATAGCAGATGACACCAATGCTCCATATATCTGCTTCCAGACTGTAAGATCTATGCAGGACCTCCGGGGCAACATAGTAAGCACTTCCAACAATATCATTGAGTCGGTCATCTGGTAATATACACATGGAAATAAACTGCTAAAAATAAACATTAAACTACAGCCTGGCAGTATGATAAACAGTAAACTTTTCACCATGCAACTTACCATCTAATACTGCACTCAATATGAATAATTTAAAAATTCATTCGAATGTGCATGTATATTGCCAATAATCCAACACACACCCAGTTTGCAAACCAATACAAAGTCTTCTTGCTTTTCACGAATTAAACTACTTACCCAAGGGGATAAAATTCATCCTATTGGTTTCAAAATTAGCAGCTTCAACATTGAGCAACAATTTTAATGCTATCCAACAAAACCAAGATTGATCAATCACAAAACTACTCTTTTGCATAAAAGACCCAGCTAAAATAAGAATTGACCTTCAATTTTCAAATGCTGCACTTTTTGGTATTGCCTTTCTAATTTCTAAAAAATCGTTATGAAGGCAGGCAGACAATTCAGAACCAAACCAACCAACATTAAGGGGTGACCATCAATTTTTACCTGGTCTAATGAGGTCAGAAAGACCAAAATCAATAAGCTTCATATCAGCATCTTCACCACCAGTAGTAAAAAGGAAATTCTGCAGACAAGCAACAGAATTTAGCATTAGTGAAAATTCTGCTGGAGAATATCATACATAAACCCCCTTACACACCATGCACATGAGGGACAGACATTGCTAAACAAAAATATTTAATTGGATCAGATTAGAAGGAAAAAAACCTCTGGCTTTAAATCCCGATGCACAACACCTTGAAGATGACAAAATGAAACCACACTTAGAATTTGTACAACTATAGCTTTTGCATCTTCTTCTGTGTACCTTCCTCCTCTGGAAAGGAGAAAAGTCCCATGTTAGTTTCAAGATAAATCAATTATAAGTAAAATGATGCTGATAACAAATATATAGGTAGAATCAAAATAAAAAAGGAAAAATCATGATTAACACAAATTACTATAATAAATCTAAGACAGGCAGTGTATAGAACTTAGACACCAGTTTTGGTGTAAGGGGTAAAATAAAAGCATCAAATTGCCAAGACAAACAAATAGGATGAGATTGACAGAACATCGGAAAGAGAAGTTACCTTGCTAAAATCCTGTCTAACAGCTCCCCACCCTCACACAATCTGATAGGGAGCAAAATTCCACAAAAGGTCAGACCCAAATACTAACTAATAAGAAACCTGACAAAATTACATCAAAACATGATTGCAATGTCCCACTATTACCCATGGATTAAAATCTTACCAATCCAATTCTACATTTCAGAGTGTGGAAAGCAAAGAATAATAAAAACAGTAAAAAGGCAAGACATACTCCATAATTATGTACACATTATTGGCGTCCTCACATGCGTCATAAAATTTAACCAGATGCTTATGCCCTGATAGTGCTCTCAATATTTTCACCTCCCTACGAACATCTTCAATTGCTATAGCTGTGGTCATCTGGAAAATAAATCTTATTAGAATACAACTGAACAGGTTTTGTACCATTTAGAGCAAAAAAAAAGAGATAGAAATGGAAATAATCTATTACTTTCATTAATTAGATGAAATAATAACTCACTAAATTATGAGTAAAATCTAACAGGAACCACTTTAATGCCAAACAAGTTACTACGAGAGCGAGTGAAGACAAGATCTTTTGCCTTATTGATGATAACCATATGGTAATTCATTCATGTGAACTTCAAAAATAATGAACGTTACTATTAGATCCTTGTAAATTAAGATCCTCCCACCCATGCACAAGAATTCAGACTGCAGAATAACATCTATTGACCTCTCTTTTCTTCTGCATGTTAAACATATAGAAGTACCACAAGTTATAAAACCTTCTGCTCTGTCAATCTTATGGGAAAGGGGAAGCCCTTGATAACCCATTGAAGGAAGCAGAAAATGAGTATTTATTGAACTCAAATGCCCAGATGACTCATATATGCAAATGCCTGGCATCTTTAATAAACTGGCAAAATGTCTAAAAGAGTCATTTATTGCATCAATGCAACAGGAACTCATAGGTAGAGATCTTTTAATTGTTTTTCCCATCTAGATCAAATTGCCAGTTTGCCACGTGTATATTGCACACATCTTGCAATTTGGAGGTGCTCGCGTCATTTTCTTAGTTATTTGGGGGTTTCTAGTTAATATTCCACCAGAAACCAAACTTTATCATAAACATTTCCAGCATCCATTCCAGTCTTCTATAACGTGTAAGACAATTTCCACATCAACATGGCTAGAATTTCCCAATATATCAACTTTGGATACTAAAAAACTCAAGCCAATATATCATATCATTGTTAGATACCCTGCATGATCATCAAATAATGACAAGCATACAAGTGTCTGTTTTGAGCACCTAGAACCACTTCTATTAGTTGCTGGCAGAACTAGAAGAAAAAAAAAAAAAAATTATAGATGTGCTTCATCCAGTCAACAAAGAAGATGCCAAAGGCTAATCGGAGGATATGGGGCTTTCTACATTTGCAACCAATGGAAGGTTATAAAATATAGATCTGATATTCCAATAAACAATATCCCGTAACCCCATTCCCCACATGGATTGCCAGATGCCGAAATATGCAATTTGCCTAATTGTCTTCTGCACAATCCAATCACATATAACATCTTCTTCAACTAAGAAAGCTAAGGAGGAAAAATCTTTTATATTTCCAATTCATAAGAATAACCAGGAATATGAACAAGAATCACATTTCAAGAATGTAGTAATCTCCTTCTACTAGAAGTAAGAGGTCTAGAATTCAAGTCGCATGGCATGCGGATGCGGGTGGGGTAAGGCGGGCTAAGGGATGGGAAAGGGTTGCCTCCCATTGTGCAACTAAAAGTTAAAAAAAAAAAAAGAATGTAATTAACGGATCACATGAAGAGTTCAATTTGAAACTCAAAAGCTATTCTCTTGATACCAAAATTCAAGGTAATAGTATCCCCACCACTAAAATAGGATATGAGCAATCATGTGAAAAACGAAGCTCCATCAATGGAGTTCATACCATAGTTAAGTACAAACTGTGAATTCACAACAAGTAAGCCGAATTGGAGCAATCAAAATTCAAAACAGCAGCATTTTACCTTAGCTTTGGAGATGATCTTCACAGCAACAGGACGGTCCTTAAGCTCACCCTTCTTGCCTCTGGCAGAGCAAGTATGACCAAAATGCCCCCTCCCAATCTCCTTCCCAAGCTCGTACTTGGCGCCAAAATTCTTATTGTATCCGAAGCTCTTGTCCAGCGCCTGCTCCGGCTCAGCCCCGTGCTCCTCCGGGATTGGCCTCTCCTTAGGCTTAGCTCCAAGCCGCTTCGCTAACGACTCCTTTATATGCTTCGCCGGAGACGGCGGAGGGAATGGCCGTCTAAAAAACCTCCTCGGAGTAGACGCCCTGGCCGGAGAAGGCGAAACTCCCGCCGGCAACGGACTAGCCGCCGCACCACGAGGGTATGGACTAGGCCAAGGACTCGGATCAGAAGACCTACCCGGTGTATTCTTCACCGACGGTAATCCAACAGCTCCATTACCCGGAGTTCCCGGAGGTAGCTGAACCCGCTCCTGATCAACAGAAACCACCAAGTTAGATACATTAGACTCCGTTCCATCATCCACAGTCCTCAGATTAGCCTTGCCATAACACTGTCCCATCGTAACACCCAGCACCGGAGCCGCACCCAATCACAACAACAAGTCAAAGCCGAAACATCTGACAGCGCAGGACCTCCTCTCCCCCCTCCCCCTCCCCCCCGGATCTGATAGCAGCAGAGAAGAAGAGACACAGCAGAGAGATCTACGGCGAGAAAACTATAAAAGAAGAGAATGAAGTAGGATTTTCAGAGAGAGGCAGAAACAAAGGAGAAGATGCTGCTGTGACACGGAGAGACGACGGCAAGAGAGTGGGGGGAATCATACAGAGTTTAACAGCACACGGGAAAGGGAAAAGTTTGGAGACGTTGGATTTGCAGAAATCGTTTGTGGAAAGGCGAAAATCACGATGATTAAAAAGAAAGGGTGTTGATTTTGGAATCCCGGTTGATGATCGTCTGTGAGGTTGAAGATAGGGGGAAAAATTATGCCCCTCAAAAAGACTATTTACCTGCTCTCCTCCATCCTTTTCCATTCTTCATTTCTTCTATTTTTCGGCTTTCTTTTTGTCTTTCGCTACCCTTTTTTTTTTTCCACTATTTTTTTAGTAGTTTTTAATAAAAAGTTTTTTAACTTGTTACTTTTGATTCTTTTATCCAGACAAAAATATAAAAATTTAATATTAATTTTAATAATATTACTATATAAATAAATTT